GGGGAGCCGGAGGTGGGACTGGCGGCGGTTCTGGGGATTCGGTGGCGACACTCCCTTCCCCCTTCGCTCGGGCGCGCCCCGGCCTGGGCCCTGGCCGCGTCTTATTGGAAGTGCGCAGGGGCCGCCTTCTTGCCCTTCTTGGCCACTGTCCCCTGGTGCGGTGGCCCTCTCAAGGAGACATTCCCGAAGGTGTCTCTGCTAGGATGAGGGCTGGGTGCTGGGGTGGGAGGCACTCTGGGACCCCACCTGGGAGCCCAGGGACCTGTCCAGGGGTGGAGGGGGAAGGACAGTAGTGAGGTAAGCGGATTTAAGGACGCGGATTTACCCCGCCCCCCTCCAAAAACCCAACAACCAAAAAAAAATGCCACCCACTCCTAATTATTAATATGAGGTTACCCTCCAGTGCAGTTGACCGCGACTACACAGGAGGAAGAATTCGTAACACACACACCCAGTCGGTCGCAGCGGGAGGGGACGGGTGCCAGCGAGGAGAGAGCTGCCCTCTCCTTCTGCTCCTGCTCTGGGCAGTCTTTTCGGAAACGTTAGCCCGTGGGCTCGAACCTAAGGGCGGTTGTGAGGGCGGCCCAGCGGCCGGTGGCGGCGGGGCTTCCTGCTGTTTAGCACCAGGTCGCCACAGCGCAACCTGAGTTGGAGAGCCTTAGTGGTCCAAGACAGACGGCAGGGTTGTTTTGTGTGGGTGCCTTTCATTTTATTTTTGTCTTCGTGTCGGGGAAAAAAAAACAGTTTGCACTGTAGTGAACGTCGGACCAGAAGTGATTCTTTATTCAGTTCGTGACCATTCACAGTTTTGGCTGCCCCAGTGACAGCAGATTCAACTGGACTCTCAGCGACCTGAGAGTAAAAGCAACAAAAAGGTAGATTTCCTACCAATAAGGACACTTGATTTACTGTTGAAAAGAAGTTCTGAGCATAGAAATCTGGTTTCACTATGGTATATGACCAGATTTTGCGGGGGGGCCGGTAATGATTTTCTGGGAGTAAATGAGGAGGAAAGGGTCTTGGAAATTCAGGTGGACATTGGAATTCATAGATAATGGAATCGTTCCACGCCTTCGAAACGCCTGGTAGAATTCCATGTAATGGAAGGCGACTTAATGGAGCCATGAGTTCCCAGCTGGGAAAAGTAATAGTCATAATACTGCAAAGGGATTAAACCATCGCCTCTTTGCCTGGACAGTTGAGAAATATTTGAAATCCACAAAGGATTGTTGGATCATTTTGTTTGTGACGTGAATGTTCTTCACCTACCAGAGGCTGGTCTTGTCCGGTAGGGGGCCCATGTTTTAGGGACCTACAGTTTATGCAATGGGGTGTGTGGGGTGGGGTGGGGTGGTAACTCTAAGTTAAAGAGCTGGTGATTGAGGACCCTGCTGAGAGCTTTCTCCCCTGCATCCGTGAGAGGCCCTGAAGTTGGAGTTTTATCAGCTTCATGTTAAACCTTCCCCTGGGGGCCTGCCGGTGGGTTCTGGAAATAACCTGAAAGAATAAACATAAGCCCAATAAAGTTAAGGTCATCTTTTGGATAGCAGATGAAGATATTTCTAGTTAGCAAGCCTGGGCTGGAAGTAGTTTCATTTAAAAAAAAATTTTTTTTTTTTTTTTTACGGTTGTGGACTTTTTAGATCGAAACTTTCTGTTTTTATGTTCTGCCATCATGTTAATGCTATTATCAGTGAACGCATTTTAGGACGTTTTTGTCACTACACACAATTCAAAATTCTCTGCTCCCCCCATCTTAAATTTTATGAATATTTGCAATCTCTGTCAACAAGCATGTGTATTAATTGTAGCAAGGCAATGGTAACAGTACATTAAGAAGTTCTTATTGTACTGCCAAAACCTGTAAAATATATTTAGAGAGTGTGTGCATGTGTATGCAAACACTCCTGATCATTTTATATTCAACTTTATACCCAACTTATATGTAAAATGTTTTATTCAATATCCACAGGCATTTCTATCATTAGATGAGCATAATTGATTATGGGTTACCCAGTAAGCGTGTAAGTCAGAAAGTATTGCTACAGGAGCACAGAAACTTTTATTAAGCAAAACTCTCAAAGCAGGAAGCTGTTGTTTCTTTCGTTCTTTGCTGTTGTGTCCTGACCTTTCCTCCCTCCAGGTCTGGCGTCCTCTGAAGGTAGTACTTCCATCTGGCTCGTTACCCTTCCCCCCAAATTCTGCCCTCTTCCGAACAACAGTTTTGGCATCCTTGACTCACATCCTGTTCTTTTTAAATGTTCTTTGAGTTTGGGGAATAAAAAGAAGGGACAAGATCAGGGCTTTAGAGGGGATGAGGTAAGGTTTTCTGACATAATTCTTGAAGGATAGCTCTCGCTACTGTTGAAGAATGAGCCAGGTGCTTTGGTCAGACGAGAAAAAAGAAATCCCAGGCACAATTTTTGTGACCTTTTCTTACCTACACAGTAGTCAATGTTCTTAAAATTTCTTCCTAAAAATCCCTCATGGCTGTCTTGTGTCCTTTAGAAAAATGTATCAAGATTACCTGTCCCTTTGGAGTCCCCCCAAAACCAAACAAACCCCAATTGCCATACCTTCTGAGATGACCTCTCTGTCTTGAATGTGACTGGCCCGCAGATCTTGTTCAAAGCCACTGTTGTATTGGACCTTTTTTCGAAGGCACCCTAAGGAGATGAGGACAAGCGTGTTGCTGAGAGCACTTGTCTGCAGCCACCCACTGATCACAGAGACTTGCTTAAGCATGTTTTGTTTGGAACAAGAACTCTAGAAGCAACACTCTTGGACTTAGCCTTGTTCTACCACCTTCAGATGGCCTAACGCAGCGGTTCTCAACCTGTGGATTGCAACCCCTTTGGGGGTCGAATGACCCTTTCACAGGGGTTGCCCGATGCATAACAGTTGCAAAATGACAGTGATGAAGTAGCAACGACAATAATTGTATGGTTGGGGGGGTGGTGGTCACCACCATACGAACTGGAAGGTTGAGAACCGCTGGCCTAATGGCATGTCTTCACCAGGTCTACACACTAACGAAGACAAGACAGAAACACATCACTCTAATGAAACCACAGCCCCAAGCCCCAAAAGGTCACCAAGAGAATACGCAGGCAGAGTTATCAAGTCCTGGAACCCTGGCCCCTCCTACATGTACCCCCTGCCCCCTTCCCTTTACCTACAATAATTGCTCTGAGCCATTCTGTATGTCTTATCTCAGTGAGTCCTACCAGGGGGAAAAATGGCCTAGAGTGTAGATATTTTCTTGTAGATAACCTCGCAAGTGATTAGGTGAATATAAATTTTAAAGTTTTTACTCTTTAGCTACATAAATGAATGCATTTGTTTTGATGGGAGTACATACAATAATTTTTAAGGCCACAAATAATAATTCCTTCATATCTTTTTTTGTATCTCAAGCTACTGAAAATACTCAATTTACTCAATAAATACAAAGAGGTTTCAAAAAGTCTGAGGGGAAATGCCATTATCTTTTAATTTTGTTCCCCCCCCCCCCTGGAGCTTTTTAAAGCTCTCTGGCATGTCTGGGTGCCACTGTATACTGAGCACTGATCCTGGCCTTGAGATTCACTATTGGATAGAACAGTCTCTTCCCTCGGGGATTGTACAGACTCCGGGGGTGGGGGTGGAGGGATCAGGGAGGAGCCATTTAAGAATGGTGATAGTGGTCTGAAGGGACTCCGGCTCAAGGGAAGTGATTTTGTAGTAGGTGGTCAGGTGTAGCCTCTCTGGTGAGGTGTCCTTTGAGAAGAATTC